AATAATAATAATAATAATAATAATATACCCAACCTAGTCTACTTCACACCACCTAAATCCCTGCTTTTGTCTCTTGTGTTTTCAAGGATTATGAGAAAGCCTTATTCTTCCCATGCAAGGCAGCTGAGCTTGTGAATGATTACGGAAAGGGCTGGAGTCTGAAGTACCGTGCAATGAGCCAATTCTACATGGCTGTAGCCTATCGGAAACTGGGACGTTTGGCAGATGCTATGGAATGCTGTGAGGTACAGGCTTTGCTTCAGGAAGGTCAGATGACTGCTGTGGCCAGGCACACTTTTTCCCAGCTTCTGCTGGTGCACCAGTTGCACCTCCTTCCAGAGAAGGCAGATCTGGCCACCATAATTCATAATCACCTATGTCAGACTACTGAAATACAGTCTATGTGGGACTGCCCTTGAAGACCTGCAAAATGCAGTGGCCACCTAATTTGGCTAGACTTGTTCGTAATATTGCACCGGTCTTCCATTAATTTGTCTCCAAATTTATGTCATTGTAAAACAACTTGGACCTAGGATAGCTAAAAGATGGCCTCTTCTCGTATGAACCTGCTTGCAGTTTTAAGATCTGTTTTCAGAAGCCCATCTGTATGTCCCACTATGAAGAAAGAGTAGAATTTGGAGAAGATCCTGTTTTAGACTAAAACGTCTAGAATCCCTCATGTGACAAGAATTTCCATCAACCCCAGACAGCATGATCATTGGCCTGGAATCCAGGGGATTATAAATAAGGGGAGCACCAGGTTAGAGCAGGCTGCTATAGTTCATCCTCTCCTGCTGTTGCTTCCTCCTTGCAGATCTGTTGGTGCTGTTTGGAGTGGGGAAGTTCTCCTTACTCCAGGCTTTTGAGCAAATGCATGATGTTCAGAGCAACCAAGATTTAGGGTGTGGTAGAAAAGGTGCAAATTCTGACTCTGCAGGTGTATCTTACTAGGAGTCCATGAAGATTGCCCTTCAGCATGGAGATCGTCCTTTGCAGGCACAATGCCTTCTCTGCTTTGCCGATATCCATCGCAACCGTGGAGATGTACAGGTATGTGTTGTAAATCTGTCCTATGAAATGTGATGAAGAGAGAGCTGCAAGGCTTAAGAATCAACTGAGAATCTTTCTTACACCACAGATAGCTTTCCCCCGGTATGATTCCTCAATGAGCATCATGACAGAGATTGGAAACCGTTTGGGACAAATTCAGGTGCTACTGGGTGTGACCAAGTGCTGGATGATTCAGAAGGAACTGGACAAGGTGAGTAGCAGGCTGAACTGAGGAGCTGGATGCAGCAATTTGCCACCAATGACGATGTCATCCCCATTGCACACATAGAGCTGCACAACAAGACCCCCATTTCTATTGGTAAATGAGTCAAAAATCTCTGATGTTTTATTTTCTAGTTTATGGGCGGGGGGAGAATTGAGAACAGATAAAAGTGTCTTTAGCAGATGTGCATGTTAATTAAAGTGTTTTTGCACCCCTCTCCCACCAAACAACATTGCCCAAGTAGTTGTCAAGATTAATAATGACCATCCCTGGCCATCAAACCAGAGGTAGGTGAATGATTTTGTATGTATTCTCAGTCATATTCTATTTGTCCAATTTTCTCATTAACCATTTTTAAAGTGGACTAAAATGTGCATTGAATTCCATATCAAATTTTCTCTACTACACATATTTCTACATGCAATTTTTGAACCAATACATGCTTCATAGAAGGGAGAGAAGTGCACAATGTGAATGAAAATTGTGCTTCAGACAACATCCAGGAAGTGCAGATCAAATTGATTTGCTTAACTATGTGACTCAACTGTGACTGTCCTCTATGTTTACAATCAAAAAAGCATTACACAATGAAAAAAAGAGACTGGTAGAGAGAAGAAGAATTGCAAACAGAGAGTGCTTATTCCAAGGTTGTCATAGACATACTTTCTTGTAAGCAAGGGTAAGGTCTGACAAACATAAATGGCCAATCTGATATCCTCCTTACTTGTCATGTTACAGGGATGCAGCCTGCTATTGTCCATTGGTTCCATGGCTGATGGATGAAGCCAGAGTATGCAGTTTTAGGGCAAATGCCAGCCAGAGCAATGCCCTTTTCTTGCAGAGCAGAGTATAGCAAGCTGCTTGCAGCTGCTGTTGTTGTGGTTGGCTTAAAGGGAGAGATTGATTTCCTCACTGCTGTGATGTTCCCACCATCTTACAACCTAGGATGGTTTAGGAATATGTTTTTTGAAGAGCCCAAGTTATAATTTGGCTGTTAAATAATAATAATAATAATAATAAGAAGAAGAAGAAGAAGAAGAAGAAGAAGAAGAAGAACAACAACAACAACAACAACAACAATAACAACAATAACAACAATAACAACAAC